AGTCTTGTTTGACCTGGCATTGTTGGCATCTGGCTATGTTTGACACATGTATGTTCTGAAAGAATAATTAATCCTAATAATTAATAAGGAGCCGACATGTGCCAGGCACTGTCTAAGCTTATTGGTCTTACGTAATCCTCACAGTAACTGTGAACTTGGTCCTGTTATCACCATGCCAGAGATGGGGGAACTCGGGCACAGAGAGGTTAGGCAGTTTGCCCAGTGTCACACAGCCAGGACTCAAGATCAGGTGTCCTGGGGCCGGCGCTGTGGCATAGCGGGTAAAGCTGCCACCTGCAGTGCCAGCATCGCATGTGGGTGCCATTCGAAACTTGGCTGCTCCACTTCCAGTCCAGCTCTCTGCTGTGGCCTGGGGAAGCAGTGGAGGATGGCCCAAGTGCTTGGGCCCCTGCACCCACATGGGAGACCGGGAAGAAGCTCCTGTCTCCTGGCTTCGCATCAGCACAGCTCCAGCTGTTGTGGCCATCTGGGGAGTGAACTAGCGGATGGAAGACCTCTCTCTCTCTCTCTCTCTCTCTCTCTCTCTCTCTCTGCCTCTCTCTCTCTGCCTCTCCTTCTCTCTGTGTAACTCTTTCAAGTACATAAATCTTAACCAAAAAAAAAAAAAAATCGGGCATCCTGAGTCCAGGCTCTGAATGAATGAGCATCCTGGAAGTCAAGACAAGGAATCAGTGAAATCTCTCCTGCCAGCTCCTTCGAAGAAGTCACTGTGTTCTGGGTGCCAGCTCCGGGAGGTCTGCTTCCTGGGACATCACGGGCAATGTGGCTGTCCATGTCTCCAGGGCAGCTTTGTGGAGGTGTGGAGATCCTCCCATATGGCTGGTTCCCCGGTGGCCTTGTGAAAGACCCTGCAGAAGCACAGCAGGGTGCTCCCGGTTGTCCATCAGCTAAAGGCAGAGGAGCACAGCAGAGCCCCAGGAAGTAGGGCCCACCGTGTTGCTCGGTTTGCAGCAGCAGGGGGAGGCCAGCCCCACCACCCCATCACCACGGGCCCCAGCCTCCTCTACCGACCTCACCCCTCCTGGGGAGAAGGCCTGGCTCATCACCTCTCGGATAGTAGCTGTCTGAGTCGTCTGTTGTCTAGGAACCCGAGAGCAGTCAGTTCAGAAAAGCACGCCCACCGTAGCCAGATGCACCTGCTTTTATCTTTAAGAGAACAGTGTGCAGTGAGTGCATCTTGCATTCACGAAGTCAGATCTCTCCCCGGCAAGGAGTCCTCTCGCTGTGGGGACACACTGCCCCTCCCACAGCGCGTGCACCTCTGAGCAGGTGACGAGCGACCCCCGAATGGTCCCGAGCCCTCTGGGCCAAGCTTCCAGGTGTCTGCTCTCCAATCAAGGTGCCCAGCGTTGAATACCTGCTGTTGGGAAGAGAGTGGGAGTAGATTTTTCTTGGATCTTTATCATAGCTTCGTCCCTTTAAAAAAAAGAAAAATGAAAACCAGCCTATGAGGAGCTCAGCCCTGAGTGGCCGTGCAAAGAACACTGGGCCTGCACCAGCAGGTGCCATCCCAGAAGTGACCCAAGCACCTGTGCCTCTTCCCTGCGTTTCCAAATCAACTGTGCGTCATCCACCAGATGGGAGTTCTGGGTCGATGGTCTGTTGGCTAATGCAGCTCTAAAATTCTGCGATCTCTTTGGACATGTCTTTGAATTTGCCAAGTTTTCATGGTTTTGTTCTGGTTTAGAGGATTGTTTTAAAAAAATTTTTTTTTGACAGGCAGAGTGGACAGTGAGAGAGAGAGAGACAGAGAGAAAGGTCTTCCTTTGCCGTTGGTTCACCCTCCAATGGCCGCCACGGCTGGCGTGCTGCGGCCGGCGCACTGCGCTGATCCGAAGGCAGGAGCCAGGTGCTTCTCCTGGTCTCCCATGGGGTGCAGGGCCCAAGCACTTGGGCCATCCTCCACTGTACTCCCGGGCCACAGCAGAGAGCTGGCCTGGAAGAGGGACAACCAGGACAGAATCCGGTGCCCCAACCGGGACTAGAACCCGGTGTGCCAGCGCCACTAGGCGGAGGATGTCTATTGAGCCATGGCGCCGGCCTGTTTTAATTTTTATTGCACTAATATTTATACTGTTTTTCTGACTAATGTTTGAAGGCTTTCTCTGTAGCAGACCCCATGCCAAACATTTTATATACTGCAACTTTTTTTAAAAAAAAAGATTTATTTATTTTTATTTGAGAGGCAGAGTTACAGAGAGAGAAAGAGACAGAGAAAAAGGTCTTCCATCCACTGGTTCACTCCCCAAATGGCCACAACGGCTGGAGCTGGCCCAATCCAGAGCTAAGAACCAGGAGCTTCCTCCACGTCTCCCACGTGGGTGCAGGGACCCAAGGACTTGGGCCATCTTCCACTGCTTTCCCAGGTGCATTAGCAGAGGGCTGAATAGGAAGTGGAGCAGCCGGGACTTGAACCAGCGCCCGTGTGGGACGCCGGCGCTTCAGGCAGAGGCTTTACCTGCCACGCCACAGCGCCAGCCCCCTATGCTTCAGCTTTTAAAGTGAGAAAAACAAAGAACCGCAGGCTTGGAGACCTTCAGCGATGAGCGCACATTCACCCAGGTGGTGAGCCAGGACCCAGCGCAGGACTCTGAAGCGTGGTTGGTACACCTCATTCTCTGGATGTTGAGGGAAAGACAGGCCCCCAGGCTCTGCTGCACTGCTTCCATCGGGGACAGCCGCACACCGTGGCCACTTTGATTGCTGTTTCAATCCACCTTCCCCAGAGGTTCTCCTTCTTGGAGGATGTGCGCTGAGTTCTCTCAGCTGTGCGTAGCACTTTCTGTGCTGAGAGGTGGAGAGAGAGAGAGAGAGAGGTCTACTGTCCACTCGTTCACTCCTCAGATCGCCACGGCGGCCAGCCCTGGGCCAGGCTGAAACCAGGAGCCAGAAGGTTTATCTCGGTCTCTGACACAGATGGCAGAGACCCAAACACTTGGGCCATCTCCCACTGCTTTTTCCAGGCCACCAGCGGGGAGCTGGATTGGAAGTAGAACAGCCGGGACTTGAACATGGCACCTGTGTGAGATGCCAGTGTCACCGGTGACAGCTTTATCCACTCTGCCACAACTCCGGCCTCCCCACCTCCACTTTCAGTCTAGCTTCCTGCTAATGTGCCTAAGACGGCAACGGATGATGGCTCAACTACTCTATGTGGGAGACCTGGATGGAGTGGATGGCTTTGCATGGCTCCTGGCTTTGGCCTGGCCTCACCCTGGCCGTTGCAGGCATTTGCAGCTGGTCAGGGGCACGTGGCAGGTGTGGCCTCCCCTGGACGGCACCAAAGTGAGAAGGAAAGGGAACACTTTCTCTTTCCAGGAATGCATTTCAACTTCTCCTCTGTGGAGCCCGAATTCTCTTAGAGACGTCTGCATGCCCGTTTCATTTTGCTGAGATCTGTTTGCACCGGGCAGACGACGGAACTTGTGCTGTGGGGACTGGGGGAACGCTGGCGACGTGGTGTTTTGTTTACAGAAATGGCAGGGAGCGTGCAGGCTGAATCAGGAAGCAACCATCGGCCGCCGAGGTGCAGCCCTGCCAGCACGTGCCCTGAGAACCCGCGGCCCGAGGGACGTGGCGGCACTGGGCTGCGGGCAGGCCCCCTCCACGCGTGCGTGGCAGGTGCTGGGCGGGCCCAGGTCCACCTTGTGTAATGAAGTCCGTACCCTGCCACGATCCGGCTAAAGCTTGCACTGTAATATGGAGATTTTCATTGAAATCCAGCAGCTCGTGTCAGAAAGAGTAAACTTTGTCCAGGACCCTATACTTTGCTTTTGGTATGCACTTCCGGTATTCTCTTGATTGGGCTTTTGTCAATTTGGAAGTTATTTTGGGGAGAGAAACACCAAAATGAGGCTATTTTTTTTCCTCCTCTAACCAATCTGATTATGATACTAATGCCTGTATTTCATCCAAAAATCACCCTCATCTCCCAGATGGCTTACATTCCAAAGACAAAGGAAAGATGCCGAACTCGGTCTTCCTGTCGCGTTATTCCAGGATATTCCATGTTGACCACAGAGGAAGATGCCTCGGCTCCTTTCTTGAATCTGTGATGTGTGTGTGTGTATGTACAGGTGTATGTGGGTGTGTGTACAGCTGTGTGTACATGTGGGTATGTACAGGCATGTGTGTATAGGTGTGTGTACGTGTTGTACAGGGGTGTGTGTATGTATAGATGTGTGTATGTATGTACAGGAGTGTGTGTGTACAGGAGTGTTTGTGTATAAGTATGTGTACAAGTGTTGTGTGTGTATGTGTATACAGGTGTGTGTGCACAGGGGTGTGTGTATGTATAGATGTGTGTGTACAGGTGTGTATGTACAGGTATGTGTGTGTATGTACAGGTCTGTATGCACAGGTGTGTGTTCAGGTGTGTGTGTGTGCATATGAGTGTGTGTTTATAAGGGTGTGTGTGTAGGTGTGTGCATGTGTGTGTACACGTGTGTACACAGTGTGTCTCTGTATAGGTGTGTGCGTGTGTGTATGTACAGGTCTGTGCATGTACAGGTGTGTGTTCAGGTGTGTGTGCATGTGAGTGTGTGTTTATAGGGGTGTGTGTATGTATAGGTGTGTGTATACAGGTGTGTGTAAAGGTGTGCGTGTGTGTGCACATGTGTACACAGGTGTGTATATGTATAGGTGTGTGCATGTATGTGTAGAGGTGTGTGCATGCATGTGAGTGTGTGTGTGTGTTCATTTATTCTCAGAAGCAGCCCAGCTCTGTGTAACCTGAAAGGCTGCCAGAGAGCAGTGCCAGCTTCCTCTCCCACGCGAGGAAGGAAGCACCTATGAAGTGTGGTGCCTCTGGGAATCAGGATGTCCCGGGGCCACCTGATGGCCCGCTGGACAGCCCAGAGGTGAATCCTCGGCCGTCTGGACCTTGCGTCTTAGGACAAGCAGGTGGAGGGCCCCCTACCCTGCCGGGATCCCCAGATGCCACTAAGCCCCTGACCTGTTCTCCTCCCCATCTCTTCTAGGAGCTGTGCCGCCAGCGCATGGCTGTGCGGCCATCGGACCGCCCCGAGGGCCAACACACGTCCCGCATCAACAGCGTCTCATCCCAGTTCAGTGACGGGCCAATGCCCAGCCCTTCTGCCCGGAGCAGCACCTCGTCCTGGTCCGAGGAGCCCGTCCAGTCGAACATGGACATCTCCACCGGCCACATGATCCTGGTAAGGCCCAAGCCCTCTGTGGTGGGGAGAGCTGTCCTCACCGCCTGCCAGCAGGGCTGAGGGACGTGGCTGGCAGTGCTCCCGCCCACACACAAGTGCTCAGCCCTCCTCCCGCACCGTCTTCCATCGCATGCTCCATCGCCAGCCCGGCCGCACCTTCATGGAAGCTGACGGTGGGGCTCTTTCTGCAGTGAGGCCTCTGGACTTCCACAGGCAGGAGTGCTGACTCGGGGCGGCCTTTCCCAGTCTGCTTAGGGTGTGCAGCCCCACAGGCACCTCATGGAGTGGGAGAGCTTGCAGGGGTGGGAACGCACCGCGTGTGACGCGTTCTTCAGCCCTCTAAGTAACCGGCATCAGTCTCTCCCTTCACCCTGCTTTCCCAGCCCAGGGCTTGCTGTCTGGGTAAAGAAATGTCACTCACATACAGCAGTACACATACACAATCACACAGGGCGGAGGGAGCTCCTCAGTGGGGCCACGAGCTGAGTGCGTCACACACACACATACACACACACCTGAACACACACATCTATACATACATGCATGCACACGCCTGCACACACACCTGTACGTACATACGCCCGTGCACACACGTACACACATAGACGTGCGCACATGTCTGTACACACATGCATGCACACCTTACATACACACATCTATACATGCACGTAATGCCTGTATGCACACATATACACACACCTGTACACACATAGACATGCACACACATCTATACATATACGTGCATGCTTGTACATGCATGTATACACACATGTGCACACATGTGCACAATCTATACACACATGCATACACGTACACATATACACACATGTACATACACACATATGTACATACATAGACATGCACGCACATCTATGCATATACGTACATGCTTGTACACACATGTATACACAGCTGTATACACACATGTGCACACATCTATACATACATGCATGCATGCACACAATACACACTGGTACATACATACACCTGTACATACGCACACCTGTACATGCATAGACATGTGCACATGTCTATACATATATGCACATACCTTTACACACATGTATACACACACCTGTGCATACACACATGCACGCTTCTATACATACACGCACATGCATGCATGCACACATACATACACCTGTACATACATACACCTGTACATGCATAGTCATGTGCACATGTCTATACATACATGCACATGCCTGTACACACATGTACACATACCTGTATACATACACGTGCACACACACATACATACATACACACACACATTCTTGCCAGAAAGCAAGATCGGAGGAGGAGGGGCGGGTTTGGTCTCTGTGGATATCTGGGGGCAGGAGCTCAGGGGAGCGAGGCTTCAGCCGGCCTGGAGATGCGGCTCTCTCCGGCTGCGCGTCCTCCTTGGAGTGCCCATTTGTGGAGTGGCCGTGCGTTGCTGCTTGACGCATACGGAATGTCTGGGCTGTATTAAGAGAGTTGTCGGTGACTGAGCGCTGCCTGCTGGCTGTCTCCTGGATGGCCCCCCTCGGGCGTCGCCCTGGTCAGTGATGGTGACAGCAGGAATGCGAGCGTGGCGGCCGCGTTAGTTCTGTGCTGGGGACGAAGCCTGCTGACAGAGGAGAGCCCCGCTTCGTGGCTTGGCTGGAGCAGCTGCTGCCTCTCACCCTGCAGTGAGCTCCCAGCTCCCGAGGGGGGCCCTGAAAGCCGCTGCTGTTGGGTGTTTATTAACAGGGCTAGGGTGGCGGGGGAGGGGCGGATTTCTTTACCTGGCTGTTTGGTAGCAATATAGACCACAGGGTTAGGCCACAGAAAGCCAGCAAACCATGCAGGAAATTCTCCATCCGAGACCCTAGGGAATGGCGTGGGCGTGGGCGCTGAGGCGCTTAAAACAAGATAAGGCCAAGTCAAGGAGTTTGGCTCTCCTGGTCAGTGAGTGGAAGATGCTGCTCCCTTGTGTTCTACCTTTTTTGTTTCTTGTTTTGAAAGATCCGTTTTATTTATCTGAAAGGCAGAGTGACAGAGCCGGAGCAATCTTGCATCTGCTGGTTCGTTCCCCCGAATGGCGGCAGCAGCCAGGGCTGGGCCACGCCGAAGCCAGGAGCCTGGGACTCCATTCGGGCCTGTCATGTGGGTGGCAGGGGCCCAAGTATTGGGGCCAGCTTCCGTTGCTGTGGAAGTGGTCCTCAAACAGGTGCTCCCAGATGACAGACTGGCATCCTGTGTTCTTGATCTTTCTTTGCCGTCTAACCTTGCAGGGCTTGTGGGGCGGGGGGAGGGGAGTTCCAGGACCCAAGGCTGCCTGCTGGAAACCGTCTCCCTGCTCTCTCGTAGGGATAGATGGGGATCCCCACGTCTTCAGCTTTCGGGAGCTGTCAGTTCGTTGTTCATTTAGCAGACACGCGCTGAGCGCCTACTGTGTGTGCTCACAGCTGTTACTGTTGTCGGAACCTCTTCTGTTGCTACAGACCGATGCTGTTCCTTGATATCTGGCTTGTCAGAGAATGTTTTGACATTTGTCCCTTTTGGAAGCAGGAATCGAGCCCAGAAGTTCAGATTGGGAATGAGCTTCGGTACCGGGGCCAAATACAACAGCGGAGTGTGTTTATCTGACAGGTTAGCTAAGGAGAGATTTGCTTAGAGAGCTCTTACTGTATTCTGTATTTTCATATTTCTAGACACTTGAGTCACAGTTTGATGGTATCTCAAGCCCAGCTGGTACGTGAAAAAACTGTTTTTCATGGAAAATCGTGTCTTGCCATTCACGTGTAAAATGGCAATTCTGAAAGCAAACACTGTGGTTAATTTTCAATGGAAATGCTTAAACCACAAGAACAAACTGTCTGAGGCATGGCTGGGCCCAATGTCAGCTGTCTCACGTCATTGGTCATTCAACTGTGGCATGGGCATGTTTCTTTTTTTTTTATTTTTTATTTGACAGGTAGAGATATAGATAGAGAAAGAGAGACAGAGAGAAAGGTTTTCCTTCCGTTGGTTCACTCCCCAAAAGGCCACTACGGCCAGCATTGAGCTGATCTGAAGCCAGGAGCCAGGTGCTTCTTCCTGGTCTCCCATGCAGGTGCAGGGCCCAAGTACCTGGGCCATCCTCCACTGCCCTCCCGGGCCACAGCAGAGAGCTGTCCTGGAAGAGGAGCAACCGGGACTAGAACCCGGCACCCATATGGGATGCCGGCACCGCAGGTGGAGGATTAGCCAAGTGAGCCACGGCGCTGGAGCGTGGGCATGTTTCTAAACGCACACCCACCATCGTGCCCAACCATTAAGGCGGACCTAGGAATGCGCTCAGACAGAAAGTCAAGTTCAGCCAACTCCCTGGATTCCATTGATACAGATTGTAAACTCCAGGGGCACTGGATCTGTCTCATTCATCGACGCTGTGTGGAAAACTGAACATTACCAAACCTATTTCCTGCCATCAAAAATGCAGGCAGGCCGGCGCCGCGATCACTAGGCTAATCCTCCGCCTTGCGGCGCCGGCACACCAGGTTCTAGTCCCGGTCGGGGTGTCGGGTTCTGTCCCGGTTGCCCCTCTTCCAGGCCAGCTCTCTGCTGTGGCCCGGGAGTGCAGTGGAGGATGGCCCAAGTGCTTGGGCCCTGCACCCCATGGGAGACCAGGAGAAGCACCTGGCTCCTGCCATCTGATCAGCGCAGCGCACCGGCCGCGGTGGCCATTGGAGGGTGAACCAACGGCAAAAGGAAGACCTCTCTCTCTGTCTCTCTCTCTCACTGTCCACTCTGCCTGTCAAAAACTAAAAAAAAAAAAAATGCAGGCAGCAGCTTGGCAGAGTTGGGATCAGTGTGGGGAGAGACAGAGGTTTGCACAGACTCCTTGCAGCCATGTGCACCTGGGTTGCACCCAGGCCTGCTCTGTTACCAATAGTGCTGATGTTCCTTCCTTTGGTCTAACTTTGCGGGTGGGTTCATGGGCTCTGACAGGTGTATGGGGTCTCACCTCTGGCATCTCCCTGATGTAAGAACCAAGAGGCCTGGAGACCTGCCTAAGTGAACCCCAGCCGGCGTTTTGTTTGATTGAGAGACAGAGAGAGCTCCTGGACACTGGTTTGTTCTCCAAATGCCTGCAGTGGCTAAAGCTGGGTGGGTGTCAGAGATGGGAGCCAGGAAACCACTCCAGGTCTCCCCCGCGGGTGGCAGGAACCCAGTTACTTGAGCCTCCCAGGGTCTATAGTGGCAGATGTGGAGTCAAGGTCTGGAGTCAGGAATTGAACTCAAACACTTGGATGTGGGACACGGGCATCTCAACCACTGGGCTAAATGCCTACTCCCAAGGTAGCATGTTTTAAAATTTTTTATGAATTTATTTGGGGGGGAAGATGGAAAGAGGAGAGAGGGAGAGAGTGAGTTAGTTCTCCCATCCATTGGTTTATTCCCTACATGGCTGCAACAGCCAGGACTGGGTTGGACCAAAGCCAGAGCTGGGAACTCAATCCAGGTCTCCCACGTGGACAACAGGAGCCCAGGCGCTTGAGCCATCACCCCTGCCTTGTGAGCTCTGCCTTAGAAGGAAGCCGAAGCCCAGAGTTAGAGTCAGGAGTCAAACCCAGGTACTACGACGTGGGCCTTGGGCGCCTTCACCGGAGTCTAACCACCAGGCTAAACGTCTGTCCTCTGGTTAGTATTTCGACTTCTCACCTGCTGAGAAGTTCAACAGTCATCCTTCAGCTCGGAACCGTGGGCCCGTTCCAATGGGCGTGGCTGTGGGAACACATTTTGATTGGACCAGAGTCATCTTCAAAGGGAACTGGCTCGTGAGTGGCTCTCTCCCTTCTCAGCGTAAGCTGTAGAAAGCATGTGCGTGTCAGTGCCTGAGAACACACTGGAACAAGTGACCTTCCAACTCATTAAAGCTACAAGGAAGATAATTCTGTGGTAATCAGTCAACCTGACCCTCCGTAAGGAAAGGCTGTGTACATCCAATGCTAACACGATGATCTTACTGAACTACATAGGAAGGATTCAAGAAGCATCAGATAAATTATGCAAAGTCCAGGTAAATCCAATGAACTGATTATTCCAGATATTTAGCTGCTCCCATGCAGCGTCGGGCAAGATGTGACATTTTAGCGTAAAGAGGCAATCAGATAAATACCAGGAGCTGTGGATATTTGAACACCAAGGTGGAAGCAAGGAGCACCGCGTGTAGTCGGAGGGCGGTTGGCCGAGGTGCCTGGAAACCACTCATCACCAAGACCTGCCAGCACTGTGCAAACCGTGGCATTTCCTTAGCGAAGAGCACAGAGAGTTTTTGAAGCAATGAGTGGGACCGGAAGTTAAAATGTACCCTCAGGTGGGGCTGGCCCGGCGCTGTGGCCCCTGTAGGAAGTGCCCTGGGAGAGCCCTGTTCCCACTCATGGGTCCCTCCTGCCTCTGTATATTGTCTGGTTACTTTATGTGCTGTGATTTCTTCTAGAAACCAGTAGTCCTAGAGCCCTGGAAATAGTGCCCCATACAGACTGCTCACACGTCTTAAAGGAGACGGGCGGCTGGGGGTGGCTCCTCAGGGGCGGAGAAGGAAAGTCTGCCCTGGGTGGGTGATGGGATGAGCAGTGTGTGGGTTGGGTTGTGCAGCCACCAAGGAGACCAGCCATTTGTCCCAAGCCACAGCCCCCATCACAGGACTCGAGGAGGGGCTCCATGACTGGTCAGGGTGTCCCAGTGGGTGGAACAAGACGCATGGAGTAGTGGGTCTCAGAGATGCCGGGGAGGTGGGCTGCTGCAGGATGCTATGGAAGTGGGCGGTGGGATGCGGGCAGGAGCCGGGCAGGCACATCAGCACCAAGTGCTGAAGTCTGGAAGTGGATCATAGATTCTGGGCTCCTCTAAGCTTGGCTTGAGGCTGAGCAGTTCTGTCTGCGGCTTCTGTGTCCACGGACAAACCTTTCAGCCTCTGTTCTGTAAAATGGGCTGGGTAACAGTGCCCTCCTGCTGGGGTTCTGTGGGCATACAGGATGCCCCCCACCACGAGGCCCCCAGAGGTCCTTAGCCTGTGGCTGTGATCGTTAAGGTGGAAAGGAAAGGATCATAGCAAAGAAACGGAACCGGGTGGAGCCTGTGCCTGCAGCATCTGGGCAGCCAGGCCAGTCTGGGACCCAGCTCGTGGCCCGTTTTCTGGAAACGCTACTCACCCTGTGTTTTAGGGCACTGGTTTGGCTTTGGTTTGGTTTTGCCTGCGTTTTCTTAGAAAGTGTCTTTTACAAATTCCGATCTGCTGTCGATGGCACGGAGAGGGGAAGGGCCTTATTATCCACAGGGAAAACGCACCCTGGACTATCAGTGCCTTGGAGACATGGGCAGGCCGGGGTGGGGGGGGCGGGGGAGGAAGGCTGCAGACCCGAGCAGCCCTAAGACCGTGCTTCCCTCTCTCAGCCTTGGGGAGGTGAGCCGAGCTCCACAAGCAGCCACGCTCGTAAATACCTGTGGGATGAGTGGAGAGCTGGGAAGGGGGCTGTGGAGGAGGGAGACACTCTGGTCCATGCAGGGCACCGCTGACAGGGCAGCACATCCATGCTTGACAGGGCCTGCGTTCAGAACTCTGGAAAGCAAATGACATCGCTGAATGGCCCGATAGAACCATTATGAAAGTTAGCTGTGTTCTAGGTATGTGGCCACGCCTTCTTAAGAAATCCCATCACAGGCCGGCGCCGCGGCTCAACAGGCTAATCCTCTGCCTTGCGGCGCCGGCACACCGGGTTCTAGTCCCGGTCAGGGCGCCGGATTCTGTCCTGGTTGCCCCTCTTCCAGGCCAGCTCTCTGCTGTGGCCTGGGAAGGCAGTGGAGGATGGCCCAAGTGCTTGGGCCCTGCACCCCATGGGAGACCAGGAGAAGCACCTGGCTCCTGCCATCGGATCAGCGCGGTGCACCGGCAGCAGCGCACTGGCCGCAGCGGCCATTGGAGGGTGAACCAACGGCAAAGGAAGACCTTTCTCTCTGTCTCTCTTTCTCTCACTGTCCACTCTGCGTTAAGGTTAAGAATGACCTTTGAATTTATTTTTTAAAAAGGTCAGTTTCTGTGTCCCTCTGGGTTTCAGAGGGTGCAGTTTCTGCATGACTGGCTTTGCGTATCGCTGGTCCTGAGAGTTCGTAATTACGCGGGAGTCAGCTGTGCCTCGTGGTGGAAGAGGACGCACACACAGCCGAGAGTGCAGACTGCAGCATCTCACACAGAGTCGCCTCAGGAAACTTCCCCCCGCCCCAAAGAAACCTTTTATTTAAGGAGTAAAAATTTCTTAAGTACAACTTTAGGGATATAGTGATTCTTCCCACCATACCCACCCTCTCACCCCCACTCCCACCCCTCCTCCTCCTCCTTCTCCACTTCCCAGTCCCATTCTCCATTAAGATTCATTTTCAGTTAACTTTGCACACAGAAGACCAACTCTGGACTAAATAAAGATTCCAACAATTTGCACGCACACACACACACACACACACACAACTGTTTTGAGAACAAGTTTTACAGTTAATTCTCATAGTACAACTCATTGAGGACAGAGGTCCTGCATGTAGGACACTTTTGCCACAGTATCTTTGCTTTCCATGCCTGCAGTGCTCTCATGGGCTTTTTAACCAGACCAGAGTGCCTTAAGGGCTGATTCCGAGGTCAGAGTGCTGTTTAGAGTGATTGTCATTCTATGAGTCTGCTGTGGGGACTGCTTCCTATGTTGGAACATTCTCTCCTTTTTAATTCTATTACTATTCCCAGACCCTTGATCTTATTCATTTAATCCCTTTAACACTTACTTCTATCTATATGATCCCTTTAACACTTAAGATGGCATTTTTACCACCCTGCTGGATGGGATTTGGGATATAAGGAAACATTTGTAGTGGAGCTGTGACTAGCTAGAGAACTTCCTTTCGAGTGTGGCTATTGGGAAATGTATTGGCTTAATACTTTCTCTCCATTAGGTGTAAAGAGTACATAGAATCCCCAGTGTACCGTAGTTCAGCTTACTTCTTTTCAGCATTACCATGGTTTGAAAGTTACATGCATTCAATAGAAAGCATATGTCAGATTCCGAGTTGTGCACTTCTGGACCAGACACATCTGGAGATACTGGGGAGTGGCGGTGAGCAAAGCTCCCAGTCATCCTGTGATCCCGAGGGATCAATGGTGGCCTGTAGAGCATTCTATAAGTTAGGTGTTGCTGAATATACTTTTGGCTTACAGTATTTTCAACTTAGGATGATGCTATCAGGGGGCAGCAGCCCTATTGTAAGTTGAGTATCATCTGTTTAGGATTTAATTCAGGGAAATGGTGCGAAATAAGTACTTTTTTAAAAAAAAAAGATTTATTTACTTGAGAGGTAGAGTTACAGAGAGAGAGAGGGAGACAGAGAGGAAGGTCTTCCATCTGCTGGTTCACTCCCCAAATGGCTGCAACTGCTGGAGCTGGGTCAACCGGAAGCCAGGGGCCAGGAGCTTCTGTGTCTCCCATTTGGATGCAGGGGCCTAAGCACTTGGGCCATCTTCTACTGCTTTCCCAGGTGCGTTAGCAGGGAGCTGGATTGGAAGTGGAGCAGCCACATGGGATGCCAGCGCCACAGGTAAAGGCTTAGCCCATTACGCCACAGTGCCAGCCCCATAAGTACTTTTTAAAAATATGTTTCACTCATGTGTAAGGTAGAAAGATGGGACAGTGACCCTCGTATTCCTTTATTCTTGGAGCATGAATGACTGACAGCAAGAATGAGCATTGCTAAGCATGTGTGTTACGAGATAGTCGCTGTCCTAAGGCATCTACAAAGTAGGATCTGCTGAAGCCCTACAGTGTGTGAAGAACGTCGTGCGTCCGTGTTGGAGGTGGCCCGATGCCAGCCCCGGTGAGGACCACCTCAGGCACCTGGCCACGCTGACAGCAGGGCTCTGAACCTGTGTGTTCATGTTTGCCTTGAGCCCCATTTAGAAGCCTTTATCTTTTAGCTGGTGCACTCCCAGCGATCTCATCCCTGTGTCTCCCGTCTGGCTCATTGGCTTCGTCCTTACTTCTGCTTAGCAACAAGATCAGTGAATTGCTGACCTAGGGAGGTTTCCTGAAATGTCCCTTGCCGAAGGGACTGAGTCATCCAGGGCCATGGGACAGGAGGGTGGCTGCAGGAGACGCGCTTCCTTGGGCCTCCACTTCTTCCTCTGTAAAATTAGCACCTTCGATTTCTAGAAGGTTCACATCCCATTGTTCACTCACGGATCTCCGTCATGGGCAATGGCTCTCCCAGAATGAAGGCAACTGGGCCTTGCGTGATTTTAAAATTTATTTATTTATTTTTGTAAGACTTATTTATTTATTTAAAAGTCAGAGTTACACAGAGAGAGGAGAGGCAGAGAGAGAGAGAGAGAGAGAGAGAGAGAGAGAGAGAGGTCTTCCATCCAATGGTTCACTTCGCAGATGGCCGCAACAGCCGGAGCTGCGCTGATCCGAAGCCAGGATCCAGGAGCTCCTTCCGGGTCTCCCATGCAGGTACTGGGGCCCAAGGTCTTGGACCATCCTCCACTGCCTTTCCAGGCCATAGCAGAGAGCTGGGTTGGAAGTGGAGCAGCCGGGTCTCGAACTGGCACCCAAATGGGATGCTGGTGCTTCAGGCCAGGGCATTAACCCACTGCACCATAGCACCAGCCCTGAGATTCTAAAATTTAACCCCGTGGCTGGGCTTCCCTTCCGTCACGAAATAGGAGTAAGCCAATGGACTCCTGACTCTGCCCATGTCTGCAGCGTGAGCATTTCCAGAAGCAAGATGAAGCGGTCTCCATTGGGAGGAATGCGTTTCTCCTTTGCAGGTGTTTCACGCTGTTTGATTTTTTTAGGCTTCCTCATGAGTAAGGTGGATCTCGGTTCCTTTCTCTTCCACGTGGCGGATGGAGATGAAACGTAGCCTTTGCTGACTTCCTTGCAGGGTCATCTTGTCCCATCAGGCAGCCACGCGAAGCCTTCATGCACTGCACACAGTGGGGTGCTGTGTTAAATGTCCCAGGACTGTGTTGAATCAGCACAGGAGGAAGGCGGGGAGACAGGGCTTAAGATGACTCAGGACGAGAGGAATGTCCAGGCGTGAGAGTCGCTGGCTATGACGACCTCGGATGTCCTCAGTTTACCACTGGAGGCCTGAGAAACCTGTGAGGAGCACACAGCTCCTGTTAGGAGCAGGCAGAGCTCAGGCTGAACTGAATTGGTCTGACCACCCGATGGATGCCTTGGTATCTGGGCCCGGCCTGAGCCTAGAGCCGTCCAGCTGTGCGTCCTGACTTGCTTTAGTGGATTGACGCGAGCCCGCAGCATCTCTGTCACTCTGCATGCTGTCACTCCTGGGCCAGGCTTCTGTGACTTAGTCACGGGTACCGGTGAGACACATACGGGGCCAGGTAACAGCCCGCACCCCGGTTCCCTGCTGAAGGCCTCTTGTGTGCAGGAGAGTGAAGGCGGGGCACCAGGTGGACAGAGGGAGGCAAAGCCTGTGCAGCACCTATTGTGTGCCTGGCACACCTGGTGTTCATTCAAGGGTCAGTGAGAGCCCTTGCTCAGGTTGTGGGTGTGGGCCCCACCCCCTTATCCCTAAAAAGAGGGCCTTCGTCTAGCAGTTTCCAATCTGAGGGCAGCTTCCAGCCCAATTGATAGTCTTCTTTACACTGTCATGTTGTACCAAGGTAGAGGACATCAGTCCCAGCAGCCAAGTCCAGGGATGGCATCTTGCCAGTGTGTGTGTGTGTGTGTGTGTGTGCACGCTTCGTGGGAAGGATTCTGATGGCAACTTAGTATCAGTGGGGAACTCTGGTTCTTCCCTGGGCTGTGACTTACGCCCTCGCCAGACTCAGCCATTGCTAGTGTTTCCACGTGAAACATAAACGCAGGCGCACTTCAAAAAGCTCATAGGAAATGGAGTTAAAATGTAAGTTTATTTTGGTGCGAAAGAAACCCATGCATACATGGGATCTTCAGAAAGTTCGTGGAAAATACATACTATGAAAAATCTCTGCATGGATTTCAAATTTTTAAAAGGATTCATTTATTCTGAACAGCTTTTGTCTTGACTGTTGAGAAACAGTTTTTTAAAACTATTTGTTGAACTCTTGGCATGGAGTTAATCATATGTGTATAAAGTCGATTGAAAATAGATCTCAATTAAAAAATTTAAAAGGATTCATTTATTCGTTTGAAAGGCAGAGATACAGAGAGGCGCGCGCGCACACACACACACACACACACACATACACACAAGTCTTCTACTGGTTCATTCCCCAGACAGCCGCAATGGCCAAGGCTGGGCCAAGCCAGAACTAGGAGCCTGGAGCTTCTTGCAAGTGTCCCACATGGGTGCAGGCAGCCCACGTGGGTACAGGTGGCTCAACCCACTATGCCACAATGTTGGCCCCATGATTTCAGAATGGTTTACACCAAAATAATCTTTTAATTCAATTTCCCAGGAACCTTTTGAAGGAGCCTAGTATGGCTACACAGAGAAACACACACTTTTTAAAAAAGATTTATTTATTTATTTATTTATTTGAAAGGCAGAATGACAGAAAGGGAGAAAGACAGAGAATTCTTCCATCCTATGGTTTACTTCTCAAATTCCTACAACAGTGGGGACCGGGTCA